GTACTATAAGAACAATAGGGTTGAGGACGGGAGCCACCTCAGAAGGTGGATAGCCCACCTGATGTTAACCACCTCCTCTATTTCCCACTTCTGAACTTTACCTTGTACTGTACCCTTCTTGTACTCTCAGAGCTAGTGCTCTCTTCTCTGTATAACCAACCAACCGACAGGGGCCATAAAAAACCACCCCTTCGAATTTTTGTTTCTTCCCTCTATCTTTCATTATTTCCTTTTTGTTTTGATGAGAGGAAGAAAAATAAGAATAAAAAGGTGTTATTTTGATGAGAGGAAGAAGAAGAATAAGGTTTTGATGAGAGGAAGGTTTTAGGGGCAACTATTATATTTCAACTATTAGAATTTGATCACAGAAAACTAAAAAGGTGTTAGGGCAAAACTATTATATTTCATCACAGGAGTCAGATGTGGGATAGCTGTTATATTTGATCACAGAAAACTGAGCAGGGGTAACTATTATATTTCATTAGTGAATAAATGTTTTCAATTTTCTATTAAACTTGATTATATATTGAGTCTTGGTCTGTCCTTCACTGTCCACAACAGTATTGAAAAAGTTAGGTTGGTTGGTAATATATAGAATAGAGCGCATTAGCTCCGAGGGTGCAAGAAGGGTACAGTACAAGGCCGGTCTCGGTCAAGCCAAGTTATTCTATTTGATGTTTTCTCAAGGCTTTTTATATTAGAGGAGTCCCACCAGTACCCTGGTGTCACTAGGATGATCCCCATCTTTTTTGTTTCTAGTTTTTATTGTGGGTTTTTCTTATCTTCCTGTAAGATGGGTCTCCCGTCTTATATAGAATTTGAGTTTTATTTTTGGTAATAATGAATATTTTTGTTATTTCTCCTATATCTCTATATATTTATAGTTTGCTTCATTTATTTAGTTTTAATTTATTTGCTAATAACTAGTTAAAAATAAATAAAAATTTAACAATTGTTCACTCAATTTAGATATCTTGTATGAACATTTAATATTTATTTAGTGTCACTTTGGTAACAGAAACTATGCCAAGTCCTGTAAGTTTATTTTACTCTCCTCTTCGTCACAGATCGTCTTCTTAGTTCACACTCCAGTGCCTTATATTTCCTCTTGAATTATTCTAAAGGTATAAACTATATTTACTGTGATATTACCGTACATATAGTCGTCCTCAGTCCACATTCCTGCCACTAGGGTACAGGTACAGGGTGTATTAATATACCTTATCAGTGGAAACTTTTCTTTTTTTTTTGCAGATACTGTACTGTAGTCACCGCTCTTCAGTGACTACATCACCAACCTCACAACACATTCACGTAAATAGTTCTCAGTTAAATCAGTCGTTGTAAACAAGGAAATAAATAACTTTCTCCTATTATAACTGACTTTTTACTCACCCTGTTAAAGCTACATTTATTTACTGTTCTGTACTGAAATGTACCCCTTCAGGCGACCACCCAACTGAATACACCCCAGCCTGCCAATCTACAAGCAGCATTCACCAAACAACAAATAAAACAGATGACCACTATTATGATAAGTCACTTTCTCTACGAAAATACAGAAACAAGATACCACCACCGAAAATATAATAAATGCAGTTATGACACAGCTCACAGAAAAGTTGCAGGAAGACAAGCAACACAGGAACTTGTGCTCATTGCTGGGGACTTAATGCCCACCATCCAACATTCAATTGGACCACAAGAATAAACCAGGATGGTCATCACCTAGTGGAACTGCCGAGACATGTTCCAGAAATAACGCTCATTAATACTGGGGAACCAACACACACACAGTACTGGGAGGAACAGTGGACCTCACATTCGTCTCCACTGAGCTCGTTCCAGTAGCTCAGTGGGAGAAACATGATGAACTGACCAGTGACCACTTTGCAACGACAACTACTTTGAGAATGGAACTACTCCCTCCTCCCCCACGTCTGCCACCCAGATGGATTACCAAGAAAGCAAATTGGAAATTTTATCAAGATGAACTCCAAAAATGGTTTTCGCACTATGAACCAGCAGAAGATATTGACCAACTAAACCAGGACCTTACTGATGCCATATAACACACAGCAGAGAAAGCAATACCAAAAACAAATCCTACAAATAGACGCCACAAAGACTACTGGTTCTACAATGACGAGGTCAGGGAACAGAATCAACAAATTCAGAAGACATCTCCGACAATACCCTTCCCTTGAGGGAGTGAAACTCTTGAGAGCTGCTGTCCAACATGCTCGTCAAATTACTCAGAAAATTAGGGAAGAAAAATGGCTCGAGTGGTGTGCAACCTTTAATGCACACACCAGCCTGAGTGAACTCTGGAGAAAACTCAGGATAGCAA